TTGAGTTCTCACACTGCCATCACTGTAAAAATAGGTAGGCCTTTCATTTGTCCTGTAACTTCTTCTAGTTTATGTATCCTATTAGGGAGAGGTCTGGTGTGTCTAATATTGAAAGGAACTCTGTAAAAGGGGACATAAGGGCTGAGAATGGAGCTCAGTGATACAGCACTTGCCTAACATGTACAAGGCCCTGGGTTCTGTCCTCAGCATACCAAATGAAAAGCAAGAAAGAGCAGAAAAAGATAATCACTTGAAATAGTTCATTTCAAACTTAAAAAGAAACACAAGAACTGCAGTTTTGTCTACATTTTATTTTCTAACTCGTTTTAATTTTTCTTTTAAAATGAACTCATAATTAAATAGTTAATACTATTCTATACAGTTACTTCCTATTCCTACTTTACAATCATGACATTTTGTGGGGGGAAGGTAGTACTTAGATTTGAATTCAAAATCATGTGCTTGCTAAGCATACCACTGGAACAGTTTAGTTTATTTTTCAAATATGATTTCACTTTCCCTTTTTGTCCAGGTCTGGCTGTAGATCTTGATTCTCCTGTATCTTCTTCTTGTGTAGGTGAGGTTGCAAATGTGTACCATCACACTCAGACTGATAGCATTTTGCTAACTTATTTTTTTCCCATGCTGGCTACAAACTCTGAACTTCCCATCTCCCTTGCTCTTGTATCTAGGATGACAGTCATGAGCTACCACTTCTAGCCCATAATCATTAAATTAAAATAAAATTTAAATAGATCAAACCCAGGACAGTACACATGCTAGACAAGTGTTCTACTACTGAATTATATCTCCAGTTCAAATGAAAACTTAATCCAAATCTCACATTAGCTGCTTGCAAGAGCTTTTACCTGCTATGTCCCTTCAGTGAGTTTTCATTTGCATTTGAAATTTGTAAATAGGCAAATTTCAAGGCTCTGGTGCCAGGACTGAGAGTGGATAAGTGATTGATTTATTTTCCACAAAATAGCTCTAAGAGCCACTCTGCTGTCCAAGCTTTGCAGTAATGCTCTGAGATGGGAGTAAAGAAACTGGCTATTCGGTGATTTTAAAAGGTAACCTACTGAGAGCTCTGTGTAGGAAGTGTGTGGGGCAGATACCTCACCAACTAGCTATGTGTGCAATTGTTGCCCCCACATTCCATCTCTCTGTGCTTTAGATTTTATATCTGCTGATCTGAAAACTTAGAACTTGAAAAATTAATAATCTCCAAAAATTTTGAGTAGTATATTGTCCTGGTCTCTTGTGAAGAACTCTCTATAATACAGAAAAGTATATCTTCTGTAAGCTTTTTCAGTTTTTCATTAGTGAATGACTGAGGCCATGTACCTTTATACAGAAGAAAGGTTTGTTTGGCTCATAGTTCCGCTGGACCTGGCCAATGGTGTTGGCTTCCTCTAGTCTCTGGTAAAGGCCTCGTGGCATACAGTATCAGGGTGGTAGGACCACATATGTAAGAGAGCTCACTTCACCAGACCATAAGCTAGCAAGAAGGGGAACAGCCAGGCCTGCTGCTCTGCAATTAGAAGTTAGGACAAGGTATGAGAAACACCTTAACCAAAGAGGGCACTCAGCAAAACCTAGTCACCTCCCAATAAATCCCAGCTTTCACAGGTTCCCCACCACACTAAGGACCAAGCTCCCAGCATATGAACAAATCAGATCTAGACCAGGAATGTGACCAGGGCTTATTCCAAGCTCAGTAGCTCTGGAATCTTACATTAATTAGTTCTTCGTCTTGACTTGGCCCACTCATCTGTAACATGATAAACTATATTATTATTTTTGTTACTAGATTTTCCTGTGATTTCTATTGTGATATTATTGTAAAACTGATAAAAAGTTAAATACGTAATAACTCATAGTCTCAATAAGAACAGAATGTTTTGCTTGCTTATATGTGAAAGTTATAATATGTTTAATTTGTAATAACACTAGAATCGCTTTGATTTCTAGAGCAATAAGATAAGAGAAAGTTAATGTTGCTTTGAGTTCTGTGCTGATAGATTGGGACTACATGACTGTCCATATCTAAAACTCAAAGTCCACTGTGTTCAGTGGCATCTCTTTTTCTTGCCGATCTTCAAAGCAAGGAAATAATCTGCCCTTTCACCCTAGTTTGCTTAATTACTCTACTCCTTCCAAAGCCCTTTAATTTTTCCAAAGTTATTTTACTTATATTCTAATAGTTGCATTCTTTAATTTGACTTTAAGACTTTTTAATGTGCTTCTCATTTCTTGGTTAGGATTGGTTTAGCTGTTCACTTTCTATTTTTTGAAGAGAAAAATGTTTTTCACTGCTTGAATTCTTTTCTTTTTATTTAGAAACAGTTTCTAGGGCATAGATTTGTCTTACATTTAAGCTTTTGTTATAGCTCATTAAGTTGGATTACATAATGTCTTAAATTGCATTCGTCACTAAATCCTTTGTAAATGCAATTTTGATTTTTCACTTCAACAATCATTTTAGTTTAGCACCTTTTAAATTACAAACAAGCAAGAATAACAAAAAGTATTTGAAGGTTTCGTTACTTTCTTTGTATATCACTTAGAGACCATTATAATTTTGATGTGTAAATGAACAACACCAATACCTAAATTGTGATTTTCCCAAAAGGGTTTCAATGCTGTCCACCCTTGCAGATATACCTACTAGAGCATGTCTGTATTGCTTGTAACTGTATCTAGTTTGCTTTTTCAGAGAGTATAAAGATTAAAACTGGTCCCTTCCACTCATGGTGCCCTCCACCCCAGACATCACAGAGATGCTTGCTGAATTCTGTCACTGTTTAGGCAAGGTTCCTGTTCCCTCCTGGAAAGAGTGGGAGTCCTTCCTTCCCTGGCCCCTTGATACCGGGTTTTTGCCTAATGACCTGTTTAAGTTAGCGATGTTGGGAAGCTTGTATGCTTGTATGGGACTTGTTGTCCCAGTTCCTTTCCATGAGCAGAGTAATGCTTCATTCCTCCTGGGAACCAGAGTGACAAAAATGTGTAGCTGACTTTTACCTAATCTACAGCCAGGACCACAGGGAGTAAATATACAAACTTGAGTTCTCAAAATCAAGCCTGTCCTTGGAATCCTCAGAAATTAGGATCTTGTTTGCTCTGCAACATCATTGCATCACATCCTGACTACCCATCTAATAAGAACTGCCAATTCTTTTTTTTTGCTCAGGAATACAAGGGAGAACCAACTCAGGTGCTGGTAGTAATCTTACATTTTATTAAATTATGTATTTATTTATTTTAATTAAGTTTTTTATTGTGAAAATACTATACAGAGGGGTTACAGTTACATGAGCAAGGTGATGAGGACATTTCTTATCCAGCATTGTTGTCTCCTCCTTTGTTTTTCCCCTACCATCCCTTCCCTCCCACCTCCTTAGCTATACCACCCCCCACCTAAATTGTAAAGTGTTTTTCTTTTTTTTTTAATTGTGAAAATACTGTACAGAGGGGTTACAATTACATAAGCAAGGTAATGAGTACATTTCTTATCAACCATTGTTGCCTCCTCCTTTGTTTCTCCTTCCCATCTCCCCACCGCCAACGCCAAGGTTGTAAAGTTTGTTTTTCAACATAATGTCTTGTACATCTCATTGTTACAGTGGGTCAATCTGCATCCTTATTTAAGCAGTTTTTTTTTCCCCTTCCCCTCCCCAAATTATACCAACATCAAATACAGGTTATACCATGGGGGAAGGACATACAAAGCAACAAAAAAATCACATGGTGCATTATAAATACATTAGAAACAATAGCAAGAAAGATATGTGTCCCTCTCTTGGGGTTCATTTCCCTTAACATCATCTTATCTGACCTTTTCTGCTTGTCCCAGACATATACTAGTTATTGCCAATAAGGGAAACCATGGGACCTATGTTTCTTTGGGCCTGGCTTACTTCACTTAATATTTTTTCCAGTAGTGTTTCTTTCTGCTTTATGCACGGATCATGTTTTTGCCACTTTTGTAAGCATTTATTATTTATTTGCATAAACTGCACTGGTGTTTTTATATATGCTTTGGATACCTATACATATTTCACATGATTCTTTTTTAAGTGATTATTCAGTTCTCTTTGAAGCATAGTGAACTGTCCATGGACTCTCCCTTTTTCATTCTTTCCTTTTGAATAATGTAATTTTGTGTTGGATGTTTGAAAACCAACACATAAGAGTCATGGAATAGAAGACAGCAAAATGAATGCACATAGTTACAGGAAGCTAATTTTGACCAAGGTGCCAAAAATCATAGGATGGATGGAGAAAGGACAATCTGTCCCCAAAATGACTTTGGGAAACTGCACCTCCACATGTACAAGACTGTAACTAGATTCCTTTCTCTCACTCTATACAAAAGTCAATTGAAAATGAACCTAAAATCAGACAGAAGCTTTGAAGCTACTGCAAAAAAACATATTGAAAATATTTGAACATATAGTCATGTAATTGAACTCTAGTTGTTCAGGAAATAAGAGCAATTTGACAAATGGAGCTGGGCATGGTACCTCATGCCTGTAATCCCAGCTACTTTTAGGGAGATAGAAAGATTACAGTGTGTGATCAGCCTTTTTATAGAATATATATGCATAAGATTTCCTTTTATAAGGAATAATCTCAGAAAGGGAAGCAGTACATGGTGGTTAGACATTTGAGTTGTAGGTTCATTTTTGCCTCAAATACACTGGGCAAATTATTGAACCTATCTTAACCCTTAATTGTTTCATTTAGAAACTAGAAATTCTAATAGTAATTATACCATGCAGCTAGGCAGATTAAGTTAGTACACATAAAGTGTTTAACACAATATTTAGCAGATAAAACAACTACTAAATATTATTACCAATAATTCTGTGGTAACATTTAATAAACATCTACTTTAGATTTAGGTTGTTGAATATGTCACTTTATTAAATATATGGAATGTACTTTCAGCTTTACTTTTACTTCATAGTTTTTTCTCTAATTTTTTTCTGTTTCAGGTCACTTTTCACATAGAACCATATAGCAATCGAGATGATCAAAATATGTATGAAAATATTAAATACATTATAGACAAGTAAGTATATTCCCAGTGTTTACAATGAACTGTTATATGATCCTACCATAATTACTGTTATCTATAGAGTACTTGTAAATTTGAGAGATTTGAATAGTTTGTAATCATATTTTAATAAAGTTGAAGTATTTTCATATTAAACCACATTTTCAGAAATATTTCTGAAAGTCCTTGTAATTCCATTTCTATGTGAAGAATGAGTTCTGTTTTGTATGTTTATAAGGTAGCTTATGATTTCTGTATGTTGATTTTTTTTGTTTAAGCTGTCTTTGAACTATTATTCTCTATACCTCTCCCTCTTGCACACCTAGATTAACAAATGTGAGCCACTGGGACTTGGCTCAATGTCAGTATTTTAAACTGACATTTTGAAAAATCCTAATGCACATAGAATTTTGACTTTTTCAGATTATGAAATTCTAACTGCTTTTATAGCAATGACCAATATATTTTCATTTATATCTAATATGATTTTAAATTTAAATAATGTGTCCATTTAGTTTCATTCTTAAAAGCATTTTACTTTAAGTCTTTAGACTTATTTATCAGGCAGTTGTTTCTTTGAGGATTTGTTGTTTGGGGATTTAATTTTTTGAGTTTTAGGTATATTTTAGATATGAGACCCTTGTCCATTGCATGGCTAGTGAAGATCTTCTAATCCGTGGGCTTTCTGTTGATCGTGCTAGCTATGTCCTTTACCATGCAGAAGCTCTGCAATTTCATGTAATCCAATTTGTCCAAACTTTCTTTGATTTGTTATGTTTCTGGGTCTCTATTAAAAGAAAATTTCATCTTGTGCCAAGGAGACCTAGGGTTTCTCCTATTCCATCCTTATAATGTTTTCAGAGTATCTGCTTTGACTCCGAGGTCTTTGATCCATTTGGAGTTGATTGTGGTGCAGGGGGATATATAAGGATCTAGCTTTAGTTTTCTACAAGTGATTAACCAATTTTGCCAGGACCATTTACTGAAGAGGCTGTCTTTCTTCCATTCTATTTTTTCAGTTCCCTTATCGAAGATTAGATGGCTATAGGTCTGTGGGTTCATTTCTGGGTTTTTAATTCTATTCCATTGGTCCTGAGGTTTGTTCTTGGGCCAGTACTAAGTTCTTTTGATTACTATGGCTTTGAAGTAGAGTTTGAAATTTGGTAGTGATATTCCTCCAGCACTGTTCTTTCTGTTAAGGATTGATTTTGCTATTTGGGGTCTTTTATTGTTCCATATGAATTTTTGGATTGCCTCTTCTATTTCCTTGAAGAATGAGGTTGGAATATTGATAGGTATTGCATTAAATTTGTAGATAGACGTTATGTCAAAAAATGAACTTTACAACTTTGGCCTGGGGGGAAGGCGGGGGGGTGGGAGGAGATGGGGGAGATGGGGGGCGGAGAGGGGGGATGGGAAGGGATGGTAAGGGGAAACAAAGGAGGCAGCAACAATGCTTGATAAGAAATGTACTCATTACCTTGTTCATGTAATTGTGACCCCTCCGTATGGTATTTTCACAATAAATATAAATAAAATTAAAATTAAAAAAAAGCATTTTACTGGTAAAAATCTATGATGGATACCAAACTCTTATAATGAAACTTAACAGCAACAAAGGAACATTTTTACTGGTAAGAGAAAGCAGCCTATGTATTCATATGGAAAATAGTGGGCCTTTTATGATGCTAGTCACTATTTGTAAACCTTAGGATGAAATAAGTAATCCTGTTTCATAATGTGTCTACTAACTTATTTGTAATGTGTAAAATGAAAAATGAATTTTAATTGTTACATGTGTATGACAAGCCTCCAAAAGAAGAAGAAAATTATGTTTAAACTATGCCAATTATCTTTATTTTTCATAAACAGTTTAAAGTAGTTGTTTCATTTCATTCTTATGTTTGTGTATTCTAGATATGGAAACCATCCAGCTTTTTACAGATACAAGACAAGGACTGGGAATGTTCTTCCTATGTTCTATATCTATGATTCCTATATCACAAAGCCTGAAAAATGGGCAAATCTCTTAACCATGACAGGATCTCAGAGTATTCGCAATTCTCCTTATGATGGATTGTTCATTGCACTTTTAGTAGAAGAAAAGCACAAGAACGATATTCTTCAAGGTGGCTTCGATGGAATTTACACATATTTTGCCACAAATGGCTTTACTTACGGCTCCTCACATCAAAACTGGGCTAACCTAAAATCCTTTTGTGATAAACATAACTTACTCTTCATCCCAAGTGTTGGTCCAGGATACATAGACACCAGCATACGTCCATGGAACACACAGAACACCCGGAACAGGATCAATGGGAAGTATTATGAAGTTGCCCTGAGCGCTGCACTTCAAACCCAGCCTAGCTTAATTTCGATTACTTCTTTTAACGAGTGGCACGAAGGAACTCAGATCGAAAAAGCTGTTCCTAAAAGAACCAGTAATACAGTATACCTAGATTATCGGCCCCACAAGCCCAGTCTTTATCTGGAACTAACTCGTAAGTGGTCTGAAAAGTACAGTAAGGAGAGAAGAACCTATTCATTAGATCATCAGACTCCTGTGTCATAAAGCATTGACTATATTTCATACTAAAATCACCTAACTTTCAATAAATGTCATTTGCTTGTTGTTGTGGAGAAAACAGTCAACATGATTATGCACTTATTATCTTTAATGAACTTTTCTTTTTGCTTCTTTAAAAATAATATTATAATTTCTACACTGAGCAGAGAAACTGTGAGAGAGAAGTTGGGAAATCCTGCTGGCATGATTTCCAGTATTTCTGACATGATGGCAATTTTCATTTCATAATAGAGAAACTACGTTTTACATTTCAAAAGCAGCACAAATTCCTAATTTTTTTCTGAGCCCCAGAAAATAAGACTCTTGTATAGTTGGTAGGTCTCATGAAGTTACAAAAAAAAAAAAAAAAAGGGCTGGAAAGATGGCTCAGTGGTAGAGTGCTTGCCTTGCATGCATGAGGCCCTGGGTTCAATTCCTCAACACCACATAAGCAGAAAAGGCCAGAAGTGGCGCTGTGGCTCAAGTCGTAAAGCACTAGCCTTGAGCTAAAGAGCTGAGGAACAGCGCCCAGGCCCAGAGATCAGGCTCCATGAATGACCAGGAAAAAAAAAAAAAAACACCTAAAATATTGTATATGTTTCATTTCTTTTTTCAGTAATTCAGTCAAAGCTGTATGTTTAGTGTTTGGATTCTGCATAACTCTCCTCTAGTGATTAGATTCTTAATGTATTCACCTATTTTTAATAGTTCATTCATTGTATTATGTATCGCAAGCCTACTGTGAAGCATATTGTATTGGGAGAGGGTACTTCCTGCACAGCAGCATCTGCATGGGTGTTTGCTGAGTTTGGGTTACCTGTAGTATTTTAAGTCTTTTGAATGCTTACTATTTCTACTTTGCTATGTTAAACTCCAAATTTTATAAACTGTAGAGTTTGCTTCTCAATTGCGAAAACAGTTGTTTAATAAGTTATGAGCCGGGTGCCAGTGGCTCATGCCTGTAATCCTAGCTACTCAAGAGGCGGAGATCTGAGGACCATGGTTCAAAGCCAGCCCGGGCAGAAAAGTCTGTGAGACTCTTATCTCCAATAAACCACTAGAAAACCGGAAGTGCCACTGTGGCTTAAGCTGTAGAGAGCTCACCTTGAGCTGAAGAGCTGAGGGACAGTGCCCAGGCCCCGAGTTCAAGCCCCATAACCAACCAAAAAAAAATATTATGAAGATATTATCAAAACCTATTAGCTAAAAAAGTAAAATGGTAAATTATTACCATTGGATTATCTTTTATTACTTTAAGGATTTTTTTATTTAACCAAAAGCACTAGAAAAATTAGTATTTCAGATACTAGAGATTAAGGAAAATTATTTTATACTTAGAGTAATTGCAGAGAGAATACTTTTAATCTCTATGCATAGTCTGAAAATGCATAGCCTATGCCCATCTGAAAATGTCATGGTATCAGGTTGAAATACCTGTGATAGCTTTTATATTATGACAAATTGATCACTTTTATGCTAAAAAATCCCTTTAAAAACAAAAAATAATAAAATACACTATTACTGTACTTTATTTGTAATTATAGTAAAAAGTCTAATTTATATTAACAGAAGTATTCTTTTTTTTTTGGTGGTACTAGGGTTTGAGCCCAGGGCCTTGAGCTTGCTTGACAGTTGCTCTACCACTTGAGCCATTTCCCAGCCCCAATTTCTTAGGTATTCTATCAAAAGAAGCAGTAGGGTAATAACCAAAAGATACATATAAACCTTTTATATAGAAGACCTTTGGTCATAAAGTGGCATTGGAATTTATTATAAACTAGCTCATTAGCTGAAAATTTATTTTTACACAGTTTGAGAAAAATAATCATTTTGAAAGAGGCATTACTATTAAACTTATTTATAACTTTAAAATTTACTAACTCTCAGAGAATGGGAATCATAACCATAGTAACAATCTATTTAATGAAGGAAATGATAAGAATAAACCACTACAATGATATCTTGATATAACCAATAGGCATGCAATATAACCTGTGGATTTTTTCCTTATTCCTAGTTTGCCACTGTTATTTTAAATGATGCTATCAGCATGTTCATCTTAATAGCCTTTTTAAGACACTCTTAAATTTTTGGAGAAATAATTATTAAAGAGAAATTTCTTTATTTTTTATGTTTATATATATGAAACTACCATGACAAAAAATGATTTTTATGATAGCTCTGAGAAAAGGGAAAGCGTGTACAAACAAGGTCAACTTTCTCTCACCAAGGCCAACACCACTTTCTGTCTTGTTCTCACACCACAGCCATAGATATTCTCAGCACATTACCCAGTCTGTCACTTGGAGTCACTCACATTGTTACATAAGAAACAATAGATCCTGTCTTCATTAGAAAAGAGGAATTTTCCAAACAAATGATTGGAAAATGTTTTCATAGCAATAGATCCATTTTTTTTCTCCTTTTTGAAAAGCTATCATCAATCACCCTTCTGTATCCATCAGTTTCATTCTACAGATTTAACTAGCTATGGATTGAAAGCACTTTCAGAAAAAAATTGCATCTGTACTAAATATTAGTAGACTTCTCATTACTCTATGAATAATACAGTGTAGAAACTATTAACATAGCACTTAGGATATATTGTGTATCATAAATAATCTGTAGATTATTTAAAGTCTACCAAGGGATCTGTGTAGTGTATCTGCAAATAGTATATACTACTTTGTATTAATATAGTATATACTACTTTGTATTAAGGAATTGAACATTTATTATCTACTGAGAGTCATGGACCAATCCTCCATGGATACCAAACGATGACTAGGAATTACTTCTATTTGTGGTTTTTTGTTTTGTTTTGTTTTTAATACTAAAAGGGAAACACTTTAAGACTCTTCATCAGATACACATTACAACTGCTTTGCCATTTGACTTGTAACACAGTTTAGCTTATGTTTAAAACAATTACAAGTTTAAAAGGAAATACCAACTTCTTATTTTAAAATTCTTGTTAAATTCAAAAAGTAACTTAAAATGCAAAATGGTATAATATATGCAATGTATGGATTTTAGTGGGTTCTTTTTAAGTTATTTTTATGGCTTATCACTCTATTGTTTGGTTTGTATAGCGAGAGACCAAATTTTGCTCCTCTTGAGGAACAGTGTGGTTCAAAGACCGCTATTACAAATGTGAACCTGTGTTGTAGCTTAACATTTTTGTTTGAAGACTGTAATTTGAAAAATAACTATTTTGTTATATAAAATTAATTTTCACTTAATAAAAATACATGAAAACATAGTATCTTTTATATTAAGTGCATTCATTTTATCATGTTTTGTTTTTTTTTTAATTTAATTTTATTTTATTTGTGAACATACTGTACAGAGGGGTTACAATTGCATGGGCAGGATAATGCGTACATTTCTTACCAAGCATTGCAGCCTCCTCCTTTGTTTACCCTTCCCATCCCTTCTTGTTTTCTTATTTATAGGTAAAAGGTAGTGTATATATATATATATGCATCATTTCTTACATATTTTCAGTAGGGACAGATTCAGCACTTACAACCTCATTCCTAACCATGTACTATAAAGTACAAATTATTTAATTTAATCATGATGGTTTCTCCTAGATTCTGTAATATATATTTATAAATTACATATTTATAAAATTACCAATGATATGACATCTCTTTATAGGTATGTATTGGAGATTAGATTTGGGGACTTGTGCTTGCTCCACTGGCACAGTATGGCTTTGTCATGCCTCCATCCCTCTATGCACTGGTTATTTTTGAATTGGGTCTCACTGTGTTTTCACCTCAGCCAGGATGACAGCCACAGGTCACCATGCTCAGCTTTTTCCCTTGTGATAAAGTCTCATGAACATTTTTCCTGGGGTAAACTGGGCTGTAATTGTCACAATTTCAACACACACATAGGATTACAGGTGTATGCCATCATGCCTAGCTCTTGGTTGAGAAAGGGGTTTCATATAGGTTTAGGCTAGACTCATACCATAATCCTCCCAATCCCAAACCTCCCATGTAGCTAGGATTGTAGGCAAGCGGTAACAAATGTGTGCAATATATATGCAATATCCAAACTATAAATTGCATATGTATATATAGTATACAGGCATATAAATTGTACATGTATATTTTATAAATCTGCAATTTATATTTTGCAGCAATTTATATTTTTCAGCCTATTCACAATGGGCATAGACATTTACTGGGTTTTGTATGCTGCAACTATGCAGAATGTGTTTAGTATTTTCTGGTGGAAGATTTGGGGCGTTGTTTATTTAAAAATATGTTAAAGAATAACAGTTTGACTTTCTCCTTTTCAATTTGGATGTGTTTTATTTATTTCTCTTCCTTGATTAACATGGCTACAAATTCCAGTACTATGTTGTATAGACATAAGGAACTTGGGAAATTGTGAATAACAACTGATCGTTGTCACTGCCAAATATTGTCATGTTGAAAAAGCAGTTTATTTTTTGTTACTTTTTTTGAAGATCAACAAAATTTCAGTTATCCATGTAAATACTTGCCATTGCGAAATGAAAAGTTAGTCTAGCCACAAGCAAAAGGACTTTCTAGCTCAGAACAATCCTTTCACATTCTAAATTAATTTTAATACCACATTAAAGCACAGCCACCTGACTAAACATTTTGTGGTCTGAATGTAGTAGTTTGCTATTAAACTTTGATGTATATTTTGACTTAACTACTTCCTAGAGACTAATTTATCTTAGATCATAGAACTGAGATGAAGTCAGATCAACTATCCATGAAGGGAGAAGCTTTTTTCAATATAATTGGCTTTTTTATTATATAGTTGTCCATTAGTTTCAAACAAAATAAAGATAACCAGAGAAATCAAAACAGGGGCATTTTAAATTAATTTTCTGGATTTTACTTTAATGAACATATATTTCTTATTTCACATGTTACATAAAAAATAAATGTAAATGTATTTAAAAGCCTATAGAAATTGTCCTTGAAATAAGTATTTCTTGACCTCAAACTTAGGCACAATGGCAATTCTACTGTATTTAATTCAATGCAAGATTTGGGTTTTGGTAGAGCATCATAGATTTGCATTTTTTAGCTTTAGAAAAGAATAGATGAGGTTGAAATAAATGGAGGGAGAATGATTAAAGGAGTGAGACATAATTAATTTCATAAATTGACATTGAATTGAGACCCCTTTACACACTACTTAAAGATAATTGAATTAAAAAATAGTTTAAAAGCTGAGCAATGATCACTGTAAACAACTCAAAATGTGAATCAGTAGTGACTTAACCACATTTAAATAGTGTTTACAATCACACATAAACATAATTTATGTTTCTGAATTGGTTTTACCAAAATCCATTATCAAAATACTATGTTAAATTGATAATAAGGTAA